CTATAGTCCTTGATTTTAAATTTAGACAGTATTTACTTTTTTCTTTAAAAGATGACAAATTTACATTCTTAGAACTTCTCTCATTATCTCCCCCATTTGATTTATACACACAACATTGTTAGTGTGTAAGTCTCATTCTCTTCTGTAACTGTAATAACTATTATAAAGTAAAAATACAAATACATGTTATATTTGTATTGTTTTAGACATGTAAATACTGTTCTCTACAGAGCTGTTCAGTTGTGTGAGCAGTGAGAGGAGGGCAAATAATCCTATTTTACTAAATTCCTGTGGTTTAAGGAGGACATAAATGTCAATAGCCAAGAGATTATCTTTCTTAATTAATTTTATTCTTTCCACTTACTCCTCTGATATTTCTTAAAATTTTATTGCTGGTTTCTTTTCCTGTTGAGCGCAAAAGAATTTTCCCCATGCAATTTCAGTTGGTGCTTGTAGACATACCTGCTTTCTCTTCCATCTTGTACCAGTAGAGTTGGAATTAGGAATTTAAAAGCCTCAGCAGCATACCCTTTTTTTGGTATTTGGCATAAAAATTGCTAAATGAAGCTGTTTCAGACAACTGCATCTCACATATCCTACCAGCATTGGCACTTTCAACTGTGTTTTCCTTCTATACTCAAATTCCATAAAATGGAACGTAGCATTAATGGTCCTTATCCACTAAATGAGGAAACTGCCAGAGGCTACCCTCAGGCTTAAAAGATGTTTTAAGAGGGAGCCTGTGCTCATTTTCTGCAGCTGCAGCAACTCATAGTCTTAGAAGGAGTGGGGAACCAGGTTTGCTGTGGCTCTCTGAGAACTGGCGACTGCCATCGTCCCTCTTGAGCCTCATGCTGTTCTTGCTCCTTGTGCCGTCCTGTCAGCGAAGTGTCACGAGTGAGAGTGGGGAGTGGGCCCCCCCTCACTGCTCCTGGGGCACTGGACGGACGGAGCACGTCCCTGTCTCTGTCTGAGATGGTTGTCGAGCCCAAGACCATCCCGTTGTAGAACTGCTGATGTCCCCAGTGAGCTCTGAAGAAAGGCTCTTGTGGGCTCTGCCAGCTGTAGATTTTATCAGGAGCTTATGAATGTCTCTCACACTGGTTCTCACTGGAACACAAACAGAAGTATAGGTGAAGGAAGCTTTTTTTTCCTTTTTAACAGTTGTTTAGCTTGCTATATTCTTAAAATTGTAGTGTTTGGGTAAATGTTCCATTAGTAAAAGTGTCAGTTATGCTGATATCTACATAATTCAGAAATTTTCTTTTCATAGGCAGTTGACACTACAAAGAAAGTGAATTTATCATCCCTTTTCCTAAATGAAATAAAAATGTATTGTCTTCTGAAATGGGGCAGATTTATCTTGAATATACTTTGTGTGTCTGTGCCTTCTCAAAAGACATATTATCTGATCACTGTTGTTATAGTTACAGAACGTTGATTGTCCAGAATGAGCGATTTGCAGGTGTGCATTTACAAGCACTTCAGAGACAGTATCTTTGACCATAAGAAATACAGCAAGCCTATTTAGAGACTTCATAGTGAGTTTTTAAAATACAGTATTTTTAACTTTCATAGTATGAACTCTAATATATATTTTATTTATTTATTTATTTCTCTAATATACATTTTTAAAAATAGAGGCCTGATAAGTGAAGTGAATATAAGAAAACAGATCTTCCTCTTTTATTGGGGAATGCCTCAGGACAAAATATAAGAATGTATATCTTAATAGGATGTGATTGTAAAATTTCTGTTTTAAACTATTTCACATCATACTGTATGTTATTGTCTCTGAAAGGAGTTATTAACTATTAATAAATCCTAGATTTTAGATTATCAGTACCCCACTCTGCTTAAATATGACAAAGAAAATAATTTAACCTCTTAGAGATTCATCAGGACACCCAAAAACTTTTGAGTGTCAGAAAGTAAGTTTTTATCCAATTCTTTAAAACCTGTAGTTAATAGAGTAGAAATAGGGTTTACTCAAATTATGTTACTAGCATGAGGTTAATCTAAAGCATGGCAATTGGTCATTAACTAGCAAACAGAACTCATTCATCCACTTGACAATTACTATTGGTAAGCTGCTGTGCCAGGTCCTAACATTGATTTTAAAAGTGATTTCCTTTAAATTATTCCACTTTTAAAGTTGACTAGCAAATCTTGTATTTGTCACTTTGAAAGGAGTTAATTACCAAAGGGACAGTTTCTAAGCTGTTGGGAGGGAGGGTCCGTCAGTATTGAGGTAAGAAGCCCATAGCACTGAGTTGAGGGACCATAAAATTAAATAATGCTTCTAATCTTGGTAGAAAGTAGACTTAAAGAGAGTTTTTATATAAATAAGGAATGTTGCCATTATGAGAGTTCTAAATATTTGAAATTTCTAAATACCTTCGTTAGTAACTAAAATGTAGGAGAATAGTTTTGGTACAACGTGTGGTTAAATGGATTGTTTATAATGTTACATATTCTTTCTATGTGTTACATGTATATATTTTATATATCTTGTTTTATATGTATGAAACTTGCTTAGAAGAGCTTACCTTATTTCCAGTTTTGTGATTTGGTGAATTACAATCATTTTAAGATTAAGGTTTTTAATGTGAACATTGAAACCTGAATTATATGCACTGAGCCTCACTGTAACCTACCTTTTGCTCATTCACGTGCACGGTATTTTCATGTTAACATTTGAGTCTTTTAAAGTGGAATTCCCACTACATCTGTAGAGACTGGGTGAGGTGTTGTTTCCCATGTTATTTCTCATTCGTGCATCCTCACTGACATAAGAGTCATTAATCAAGCAGGAGCAGGTGAAAGGCCTTCAGGGGAGGGGCAGCGTTTTGATGCCTGAGCCACCAGTCCTTACTTTTTTCCCCACTTTGTCCCTTCCCTTTCCTGTTCAGTTAAACCAGTTACCAGGGGTAAACTTTTCAAACAAGTATCTCTAGTAACTGGAATGTGTAGGTGTAACTCCAGAGAAAGAAAATACCAGGACAAAATACCTCTAAAACCAAAATCAGTCAAAGGGAAAAATGAAGTTTAAAACTCGTTTATTGCTTACAAACTGCAGTCCAGGCCATCTGTTTCTTGCTGGGGCAGAAGGAAGTAAGACCTCCCCCTAACTTCTCAGATTCAGATAAGCTCTGGGTTGCCCAGGTAATTACCCATTGATGTGGAGATGACCTACGAGTCTCCACCCCTGAGGAATGCCTGTTGATATGCAGATGCACTGAAGCAGGCGAGATATTCTAGAAGTATTACAGTTTTACCTACAGTAGGTTACATGATCACAGCTAACAAATGTGCTATCATTTCGTAGAATTCTGGGCTTCAGGGGACTTGTAGTATCTGCTACGGAGAGGGAGGGACAGTCTGAGGAGGTTGAATGCGTTGGTCAAGGTCCCATAGCTCAGATGGTAGATTGCCAGCCACTGCACCACAGCTGCTGAGCACGTGTACCAGTTCTCAGAAGGGAATCTCCCCTGGGAGGTGGTTGGTGGGGGTGGAGGTGCACCACTCTTCGCCCCCACTTTGACTGAGCTAGAGCTGGACTGTACAGCACCTTTTGTGCCATAGGAAGAATTTTAACCTGTATTCTGAGAGCATTGAGAAGTCTTAAAGGAAGGGATTAAGCAGAGAGCAGTGTGATCAAATTTGGACGTTTGAAAGGTCAGTTTGTCTTCACTTGAGAGTGATTGGATAAGAATAGGTTAGATCAGAAAAGGGCTGATAAATTGGCTGATAATTGCCAAAGTCTAGTTTGAACGAGCACATCGTGATGTCTGTGATGACACAGACTCGCGAAGACTTTGCCTGCTCAGCAGTGGACATATTAGGCTCAGTGTCCCTGGCATACAAGGGGCCCCAGACCTGCTTGCCTCTTGGGCAGAAAGCATCGTACAGTACAAAAGGCATCAATCCAGCGTTAGTGAGAATTGGGCCCGAATCTCAGCTCTCCAAGTACTGGCTGTCCAACCTGGATGGCATGATTTTGTTCTGAGCCAGTCTCCAGCCTGGTGGGCTGTGGTGGAGTTTAAACAATGCACAGATCGTAAGACACCCAGCACAGAGCAAATGCCTAAAAATGAGTCTGATCATTTTTTGCTTCTGTTTCTCTTTAGGATAAAGTTATCAGAGGTACTTATACCAAATTGTTAGACTGCTTCACATTAACTTAGAAACGATGTAGTTATTATACATGCAAACTTTTGAAAAGAAACCATTGGTGAGCAGAACAAGCTCCATGAAGGCTTCTCTTATGAAAGTAGGAAGAGTAAATGACTCTGAGGCCAAGATGAGTGTTGCAAAGAATAGTTCCTTTCATTTTCATTTGATCGTATTCCCTCTGAAGACAGGCTCAAGAAATGCGGAAACTTCACATGCAGAGTAGAAGTGCTCACAGTGACACAGGGTGACTTTTCCGGCTTTCTGTTCACTCTCACTTTTTTAATGTCCTGATAACAAAACAGCAAGAGTAGCATCAGGAGGCAGCCTTCTGTACTGACGTGCTAGGATCCGACAGAGCCTCAGGCCGGAGCGGTTCCACACCAGGGAGTGTGGCTGGGCACAGGTAAAGGAATGTGTCACAGGGTGATTTCTGTTGTCATCATTGTACATTCCGAACCTGCCTCAAGTTTAACAAAACAGCAAGAGTAGCATCAGGAGGCAGCCTTCTGTACTGACGTGCTAGGATCCGACAGAGCCTCAGGCCGGAGCGGTTCCACACCAGGGAGTGTGGCTGGGCACAGGTAAAGGAATGTGTCACAGGGTGATTTCTGTTGTCATCATTGTACATTCCGAACCTGCCTCAAGTCCCATCCACCATCACAGTCAAGGACATTTTTCAGCTCAAACAGAGCTAGTCCAGTAGATCTACATCGCTCTCCCCTGGCCTGGACGGAGCAGGGGCACATCGTTTATTTCTGGAAGCATTTGTCAGAGTACCAGACACAGGGCTAATGGCTTTTGTTTCCTTCTCCACCTTTTTCTAGGATTATGACAGTTTTTTTGAATCAAAGGAGAGCAACACGGTCTTCTCATTCTTAGGCCTGAAATCGCAGCTGGCCTCAAAGGTAGGCACATCTTTTATTGTTTTAAAATTCATGTTTCTTGTATTGTTCTTAGGGATTAAGGTTGAAGGTGTTGCAGGAATGCATATATAATCCTCTTAATTGTTGGCTTTTGCTCTTTCAGATGCACAATTAGAAACTTGCTGGGGTAGAAACACAAGGAAACCCAGTGTTTTTCCTTTATAATTTTTAAGTGTTGCTACATATTGGAGTTTATTCTTATTATAGTTTAGTTTCTTTATAATTTGTTATCTCTTCTTCTAAGAATTTAAGGTACCAAAAGGTACTGTGTGCTTTCTATTTTAAAGTGAAAGTTTATACTACTTTACATTTTTTGAGGTAGTCATATTTTTAAGGTCTTTTACACATTTAATTCATTTACATTGGGAGGTAGATCGTTTGCAGTAACTAATGGCCAACCTTGGGAAAAAAGCAGTACAATTTCGAAACTAAGCAAAATATTTTTGAAGCCATTTGTTATGTCTTACATGTTTGAGAGAAGATAAAAGGCCCAAGCTTTCTAAGGTTTAGACCTAGAAATGTTGTTACGTCAATTTGTGAAGCACATGGATCCACTTTCAAAATAAAAAATAGCATTTCTTTATTAACTAAGGTAATATTTTGATTTTTGTTTTCCGTCTTAAAACCAGTTTTTTTTTCTATCAGATTATAAAAGTAGCCTAGGCTCACTTGGAAAAATTGGGAAAATATAAAAACATATAAAGTAAGAAATAAAATCATCCTTATTCCACCACCCAGAGATAACTACATTAATATTTTTGGTATATTTCTTTGCAGTCTTTATATACATAGCAATTGAGGATTTGACTTTATTTCAAATGAGACTGGATTCTAAAGTGTCTATTTATAACACTGAATTGAAATGAAAGTACATTACTGGGAACTTTGATGTCTGCAAGTAATAGGTCTTTTGAGGCTACCCAGGATTTGTACCATTTCTGGAGCACCTGTAGGAGGAAGGCAGAGATTCTCAGTAATATGAATTATACACTAGCACCTGCAGTTCACAACCAATATAAAATCTTGCTTTGTTTTTACATCAGTAAGTCCACAGATGGTTGTGGGTGGTTTCCATGTACGTTTTAAATAGAGACAAAACCCACATATATAGTTTTTAAAGGTTCTCAAGACTATTTTGTAAAGGTAGGATATTGGAATAATTGTTAGGAAAGTCATAGTATGTTTATAACATCTAATCTAAATATATCGAACTGTATTTATCTTCAAAGAACTGGAAAAAACTGGGGTGAGAGTAACATGTAGCAGAGGCATGAATCCAGTGGACATCGTTGTCTTTGCCAAACCTTTAAAAAACATTGCGTGCTTGCCATCTTTGTTCTCATCTTCCCTGAAGGTGCAGGATCCATAGAGATGCTGCAGACAGACTCCTTTACTCTTTAAAATATTTATTCCATCAAAAATTTCTCTGGAAGTTGATGATCTATAAAAAGTGGATCCTAGTATTTAACTTAGTTTTCTTGATTTCAGTTGACCATTCAGAGGCAGAAGCTCTGGGTGTACCCACCCACTCAGCCCACTGTTTTCCGGTGCCTGAGCTGTTCAGCCTGAGCCAGGGTGGAAGTCCCTGGGGCAGCGTTTGAGCCGCCCGCTCAGCACCATTCTGCCTTGTCCCTTCTTGTTGTTCATTTTTTGTCCTGGAAGTCTCCCACTCTGAGCCCTCCTTGTGAGGCCCAGGCAGCACTCACAGCTACAGGCCCTGGAAGGCGGAGCCCCTTTCCTACCCTCCCCACAGTACATACACGTGAGAGGGCCAGAAAGCCCACCCGGAGACAGATGCAGATAGCGTGAGTGTGCATAATTGCCCCTACACAGGCAGGACAGAGCATCTCATGGCCTGCAGGCCCAGTGTGGGCCCGGGGCAGTTCTCAGAAGTGGACAGGGCAGGAGGTAGGTGGTCACAGAACACAGGCCACATTGGCTCTTGGTGTTTGTCTGGCACAGAATTCTAAAATAATTTAAGTGGGTTGCTTTTATTTAAAATATAGATTTCTCTCTTTTTTTGAGAAATTGGAAGGCATGGAAACCCTGGCAGGACCCACTTCCTCTTGTGGCTAGTTGGCCAGTAGTGAGCCACCATGTTCCTACCCAAGAGAAAAGGAAGCCTTTTCACTCATAATATTCAGGAAGAAAATCATCAAGTGTGTTACTTTGGTAGATTCAGGCAGGGCCAGAAATAGAGGTTTCTACTTCCCTGCCATTCAGGGGGAGAATCAAGAGACAAGACAACTGATAAATCCTGCCCTGGTCCCAGAAGCTATCAGCTGATCATGGGGACACTCCGGAGATGGCAGGTGTGCTCCTTGCCCGTGGCCGTCCTCCACAGGCCCACAAACACCCGCCCTGCCCCTGAGCCAACGGAGCAGCACCTCTGAGGAGTCAGCAGGGTTTGGAAATGAGGTTTCCTTTCCACTTTTACATCTGGCAGGTCAGGAAGGTGAGATTTAAATCTGGCCTCTGGGTTAAGGCTATCAGTTTATTTTGATTCACAATATCTCTGTTCCTTACATCCTCAATGGTACTGCTAATGTGAATTTTCTTGTCAACACAATCCAGTAACTGACTTTTTTTAAATAAATAGGTGGAACCTTAGGGAAGACAAGTGGAAGATGATGGAGGTGCATGCTGAAGCTTCCCTGGTACTCAGCACACACCTGCATACGTGGTGTGTCACTGGGACAGAAACCACGTGCATCACTGGTAGCTTTGCTTGCCACAAAAAGGTTTTTTTGGAAGACATGGGTATAGTAGGACTGCATGATTGCTTTAAACCAAATCAGGACTGTGGTGGGTTTTTTCTTATTTTCGTAATTGCCTGAGTCATCTCACTCACCTGGAGGTACTGTGGCCTGTTTCTTCTCTAGTGACTGGAAGACAAGTGGGTGGCACCATCAGAGAAAACGCTGGGTCTTTCCTGGGCTGTAGCTAATGCTCGTGTTGCTCAGACTTGCTTCTCTAAGCGTCTGGTTTGTACCCTTGAAATCAGTTGCTAGGCTATTAGAATCTTTCGATCAGAAGGAAAAAAAGCAATGCTCATTGACAAAGGGCAGAAGATTTTTGCTGCAGATTCACAAATGTCACTCTTGCAGTGCTTTATGTGGGCACCTGAGAAACAGTTTGGTGTCTTAGCCCCCTTTTGGTAGTGGGGACTCCTAACCCCATGGCCTTCTAGCTCCTACAGGTGTTTCCCAAAGTCTCTGTTGCAACACTGTATTATCAGAACCACGTACAGGGCTGAAAACAATCACTATTTTGGAAAACATGCTTCTTTAGCTCCTGCAAGGGGAAAGTTTCACCTAAATGTGTAAGATTGCTTAAAAGATGTACTTTAAGAGGTACACTCATTAGATAGCAAATTTATAGTAAAATTATCTGACTCATATCTGAAGGTATGGTCAGCTCGAGTCACTTGTATTTTTAAATGAGGCTCCCCTAATAGCTGCTTATTCTATTTTGTGAAGGGACTATATTTTCTTGAGAAAGGAAGGTCTTGGCTAGATATATTTTGTGAACCCTTGAAGGTCATATTAAAATATGCTAATAATGCTGTACAGTTCAATTTTTTTCGTATTACTTTTCATTGCTCCTTTAACTTAGCTCATGTTTCTGGCCAATGCACAACCCCAGGTCTTTTTTTAAGAGTAATGTGGTTACATATTCTCATTCCATATGTGAGCAAGAGTGAATTTTCAGAGCATCATATATGAGGATGGGTGTCAGAGAATAACTGAGCCGTAGCTGGTTTGTACCTTGGAGTGGCTGCACATGTCTGTGTCACTAGGGCAGAGCCTGCTTCTCTGCATCCTTGCCTCTGCTCACCTTTTTTAGAGGCTGTGGCTGCCAAACATGGGAGCGGCTTTGACTACGGTGAACTCTGAGGGACGCCTAAAGTATTCTGCTCTGCTCTGCACCCTGCCGCTTGGCCTGCCGCTCAGTCTGCGCAGGGCGTTTGTAAGAAATTGGGGGAGCAGGACTGAGGCCCCATCACATGCTCTCTCCCCATAAGTTGCTGAATGTAGACTCTTCAGAAGATGTGTTGAATGCAAAACTGAAACCCCAGACATGCAACCCAGGGCTACAGCCAGAAGGAGAGCCCACCACACACCTCTACTTACTGGAACAGACGCATGAACTACAGTTTTCCCTCGAAAAAAAGCTGTTTTGAAATCATGGTGTCACTGCTTAGTTGGCATTAAATAAGATCCAGTTCAAATTCCACTTGATGGGTCCCAGGGATGATCCAGGAAATTTTTCTCAGAGCTGGATATCGTGTTTGAGTTTGGGACCAAAGTTTTAATAATTTCTTTTTAAGATACAGCAACTAGAAAAATGTAAATGTCACAATGCTCTGACTTAACATGTAGCCTTCTCTTGCTAGTGGGCACCAAGACCCAATGCGGTGAGACTGAGGCTCTGCAAGTTAAAACCTGGGGTTGTAGTAAGAAAACAATGCTCAGATTTGTTTGTCTTAAAACTTCTGAATTGTTACAGTTACAGTAGGCTGAGTATGGTGCTCTTAAACTGATTCAATACATAATTACTACCACAGTTACATGTCATCTACCCTCCAGCCCACTTTCTGGTTTAGGAAAGAATTAGGAGAGCTCAGCCTAGTCTTGTCTCACGCTTGCTGAGTAACCTGGAAGCATATTGTGTGGTGTTTACCGCCAAGCCCAGGGTCTACATGCAGTGCCCTGGGGACCACACTGTTCAGAGAATGTCGTGTTCTTAGCTGAACTGTTTTACCAGCTCAGTTCTAAGCATATAGTGATTTTGTTATTCCCTTCTTTAACTAGCTGCCTTTAGATTTGGGTAATCATAGTCTTAAAAACTTAGGAAAGAAGCAATGGAAATTGACATAGATGTAAATGTCAAGGGTATTTCAAGACTAATTTTATTTCCTGTGGTGAACTTGTTGGGGCAAAGGAAATGCTCTTGCTAAAAACCAAGTTATGCCATTTTTAAATTAGATCAGGTACCAAGTTGCCATCCTGCCAGGTATACACAGACCAGAAGAAAATTCAGTCAGGGAAACACTTGCTTTTCCACATTATGGTTTTCTGTTAAAATCAAAGAGGAGAAAGGAGAATTTTTTTCTCTTATACTCTAATATATTTTAGATTTGTTTCTGTTTCAAAGATTTATTAACACTCCCACATGGATGTGTTTATGTTATGTGAATTTAATAACGAACTAAAGTTGTTTCTGTCCTCTGTTATTGAAAGGTGCCAAAACTGATTCTGTTTTGTTTTTATTTTTTTCACTTGCTTTTGCTATATAGGGTTTTCTTGCTTTTTCTAGAAATGCCTTTCATTTAACAGCTTAAGTGTCAGGGTCCACTTTGATCTGCGTAATTACTATTTTTAGATTTCGGTTTGTATGCATTTGTCTCTATAGGCATTGGTGAACTCTGCATGTACATTCAGCTTAAAGAGGAATAAATTCCAGAAAACACATATTCTCAAAGTGGAGTGTTTGTTGCCTACCATCTCTTACACCTTTTCTGATTTTATTTCTGTGCTTGGCTGAAACTTCCCTGTTTATTTGGGAATCTGTGTTTCTACAGCCAAACCTGAAATCTGGGTTAGTTGGACAAGTGCACAGATTCTCTGACCATTGAAGGGCACACGTGCAGCCTTGCCTGTGTGATGAGACTGCAGGCTTGTAACCAGGATGGGGGCCAGCACTGGATGTCTCCTGGTTGGTTCCAGTAGATGATGAGGTTTCCTGAGTGTGGTGAGGCCAGTGGCTGGTGTATTCTCCCCTCAGTGGGGCACAGAAAACCAGTAGAGCCCAGCTGTGGCCCTCAGAGCAGGGTTTCCTTTGGGCAGCCACCTCTGAAGGCAGAAGATGACATTTCTGAAGGCACAGTCCAAGGTTGGCCTCATCACTGAACGGCTTCAAACCTTAAACACCAAGACGGTTGAGACGAAAGAACAGCCGTGCGTTTGCTGAAATGTGCTGAATCGTGAGACAGCCAGGTAACCTCCATGCACTTATCACCAGTTTTCCACATTTTCCTAGTTCTAGAAGCGCAGGTCAGGTTGGTTCAGCCGTCTTCTCAATCAGCGTGTGCTGAGCCCCTAGAATGGGATGGGTGCTGTGTGAGCAGAACAATAGTCTCCACCCTCCAGGAACAGAGAAGTGGAAGTGAAACAGCACTCGCAGCCCCGTGGGGGTGCAGTCTCGGGGGAGGTGGAGGTGGGCTCCTGGCCTGCAGCCCCCAGCCTCCAGGCTCTCAGGTTCCTGGTGGTGACTCCCCATCTCAAATGTGTATAACCTCTGACATTTGTTACATCTACTCCAGATTTTTCAAGTATTTCATACGTGCAATGGATTATATGCGCATGCACACATGTAATGTGTGCTCATGTGTACACTGAAATGTAGGGCTATAGCCTTTACCTCCAATGTATGTACCCTTAAATAATAATAAATGGAATCAATCCTTGTTCTGTCACTTCATTTTCATGCTCATTGCAATTGGTTTTTTTGCAATTTGCAATTATTTTAAAATAAGCACCCTGGTTTATTTCCTCTGCTAAGTACTGCTTCATTGTATGAATGTATATCGCAGTTTTCTCTTCTTTTCCTGGATATTGAACTGCAACTTTCTTGGCAATATGACAGAAGATGTTGCCATGAACATTCTTTTATGTGACCTCTCATGCACGTACACCAGAGTAGATGCAGGCCTTGGATAGAACCGCTGTATCTTGCAATACAGCACATTGTCAGCTTTAATAGAGGAGCCGGATTGTCCCAAAGTAATGGTTTGGTACCACTGGTGTGGTGGAATTTCCTGTCCTAAAGATCCTCACCTGCATTTAGGGTCATAACACTCAAAGCTGAGGAGTGTACAATGGTGTCTCATCATGGTTTCATTTTGCACATATTTAGTAATTAGAAATTTGAATATGTTTTATTTTGGTAATTCCTATTTCTTCTTGGAAATCCCTCTTCATGTCTCTGTCTATTCTGTTTTTAATTAATTTTGAAAAGTTCTTTGTATTTTTATCAGTTAACTCTTACTTAAGTATTAAAGAAAACAATATTTGAAGTAGAAAAATCTCTGAAGCTATTTCCAGAAGCATGTGCAACTTTATTTGAAGAAAATAAAGTTAAATGCCTATGTTGTGTGTGTTATTGTGCACTAATTTTCAGCTTGTCAGTATGTTCATGAAAAGAAGATGTACTTTGGAAAACTTTATGTGCTCTAGAAAGGCTTGCTCTTTGTAGCTATTTTAAAGCTCGTCAGTTCCAGTTATTTGGTAGGAAATGACTGTCATGATCTGGTTTTCTGCTACAGAATTTCACCAAAAGAAAATCTTTCTATAGAGCGTTTGTTTACATGTGTACTTTCCTTAGTATTTCATAATAGGCTTAAAAAGGCCATAATGGTGTTACACTTAAAAGAACATTTTGAAAAGATGTATTTAAGTCACAGAAGATTGTATTGAGCCTAAACTCACAAGTAATCCTTAAGCTGAATAAGATACAATATAACCCCGTGTTTGGTAATGTGTTTCCCCCTGTGTGAACCCACCAGCACAGGAACAAGAAACTGCAGTGCCGGCTCACCTTCTGAGGCCCCTGCCAGCCAGAGGACAGTGTTTTTAATAGACTGAGACTCTGGC